TCCTCCGCCATTGTATCGAGCTAAAGTCTATATTGTGTAATTGCCATGGCATTAAGACGAGGTGGTCACTCCACATTTTTCCATCTTTGATTAATTTTTGCAACATGATAAATTTATATGATTAAATAAAAATATAAACTTATATCAGTGAAATCCTAAAATAAGCATTGCCTAAATTCAGGAGGGGATATGAGAGGATAGATATCTATTTGTGTATTTGAAGTTGGAGGTCGCTTGGTGCGAGCTTCGGAAAGCGATCCCATGCCTAAAAGTGAAGTAATTGTTAAGCATCCACCTATCCCTGCTTAGTTAGGTTGGTGGCATTACATAACTCTCTATAAAGATGTGTTAATATTGTAGATCCCCATGAAAAGCAACCAGTTTCTTCAAAATTCCAAAGTAATGGTAGATACATTAAATAAACTTTATGACCTAACCTATCTGGCATTAAATACCTACCAATCAACCTAAGTATGTAAGCTCTTTGTGAATTGTTGAATTTGTACATCATTCACATCATCTAGAAGGTGTGTGAAAGTGTTCAGCTAGCCAAGGAATTACAAGCCTTTATCCTGACATTTTATCTTCTGGTGGTTGTATTTCAAAGAGCCATTCACAAACATTAAACCAATTTCAGTCTATTTTACCAAAGACAGGAGTTCCAATACATGAAAGGTCTAATTAAATAGAAACATCTTGTAAAGTTATTGTGCATTCACCACGAGTAGTATTAAAAGTATGTGTCTCAAGTCGCCACCTCTCAACAAGTGCTGAGACCAGAGTTGGGTCATATTCATCTTGTCCTATTCTTGCAACTCCATAAAATCCAGCTTGTTTAAGGTACTCTATGATTTGGAGTGGTGGATCTATCAATCGATCTTCATGCATGACTCTTCGAGTTTGAAGGATGCAATCGTGCTAAAAAAAAATTAAACTTGATAAAATTATCAAGTATAATAATTTTAGACAAGATAAGGAGAAATGATAATTATATTATCATTCTATATGGTCTGTGAAATATTATTCTTGTAAGATTAATAATGTATTTTCTTCTGGGCCTGGGTTAATAACTTGCCTTGTTTGAGCCATTTATTTACTACTGCAATGCAATTTGAAGAAACAAAGGAATTTCTAATAGCAAGAAGAATGTCAATTAAAATTAACACATTTATCTAGAATAATTAATGTCAAATTTAGTGCAAATCATACAAATTAACTTCTACATGCTTGTTCATTTGGAGTAGAGTAGAGCGATTATGACCCGTTTGTCTACATAACTCACATTTATTTGGCTCAGTGGGTATGGTCCAATCCATCTCATTACATATGTGAGTTGATTGAGGACGACCTCTTTCTCTAATCATTGATGGGTCAAGAATTAAATAAGAATATCAGTTTCATGCTAATGAATCTCATCTCCTATAGGGCGAAACTCATTACTATAAGCTTGCCTTATATATTGTAAAGTGAAAATGGGATCCACGAATTGTAAATGGTTTAAGCCAACACTAGCACATGCTGCAATTATATGCATGCATGGGTATTTTTTTACTTGAAACTCTTCACAATCACATTTTTTCTCATTCAAGCTAACCTTACAATAGTGACCAAATTGATGAATTTGAACATTGTATGGTTCTTGCACCTCAAATGATGTTTTCCTTTGATTAAAAGTGCA